TTTAAAATATTCGTTCAATTTATCAATTGTAACTAATAGACTCAAAACAGTGAAAAAAATTTCGAATATAATCGATCATTTTAAAATTTAATCGATCATAATAAGCTGGACACTGATATATGATAGCGGTTCCACGTTAACCGCTATCTCAAAAGGTTTTAGATAGCGGTTAAATGGAGAACCGCTATCTAAAATACGTTTTAGATAGCGGTTAAATATTTAACCGCTATCTAATCCTAAATAGATTTTTTTTATAAGAAAGCAAAACTAACTAATATATATATATATATATATATATATATATATATATATATATATATATATATATATATATCTAAAATATAATTTATTTTAATTACTATAATATAAAATATATATTCCAAAATATAACTTATTTTCATTTATAGATATATTATAGAAATAAAATAAAATTATATTTTAGAATATATATATATATATATATATATATTAAATATAAATTATTTTCAAGTTGATAATTATTATTCTAATTTACGCAAAAAAAAATATATATATATATATATATAATTAATTTATAAGATCGGTTAACATTTATTCTAATTTATTCTAATTAATTATTCATATATGGGTCACTTATAAAAAAATATTACAATATCAAATAAAGTAAAAAATTAAAAAAGTTTAATCACACAAATAAAAATTATATTTTACTACTTTCAACCATAATTCTAAATATATTATTAATCTAATAAATACATACTTCTTTTTAAAACTATATTTAAAACTATAAATTTTATATAAAACATTATAAAATTATATAGATATATTTTTTTAATTATATAATTATAATTTTTATAATATATAATTGAAAAATAAATTTTTTATTTTAATTTAATGTATATTTGAGAAATTAATCAATTATAATCTATTATTTGAAAAACTAATCAATTCTAATCAATTATTTAAAAAATTAATCGATTATAATTTATTATTTGAAAAAATTTCGAATATAATCGATCATTTTAAAATTTAATCGATCATAATAAGCTGGACATCGATATATGATAGCGGTTCCACGTTAACCGCTATCTCAAAGGTTTTAGATAGCGGTTAAATGGAGAACCGCTATCTAACAAACGTTTGAGATAGCGGTTAAATATAGAACCGCTATCTAATCCTAAATAGATTTTTTTTTATAAGAAAGCAAAACTAACTAGTATATATATATATATATATATATATATATATATATATATATATATATATTCTAAAATATAATTTATTTTAATTACTATAATATAAAATATATATTTCAAAATATAACTTATTTTCATTTATATATATATATTATAGAAATAAAATAAAATTATATTTTAGAATATATATATATTAAATATAAATTATTTTCAAGTTGATAATTATTATTCTAATTTACGCAAAAAAAAATATATATATATATATATATATAATTAATTTATAAGATCGGTTAACATTTATTCTAATTTATTCTAATTAATTATTCATATATGGGTCACTTATAAAAAAATATTACAATATCAAATAAAGTAAAAAATTAAAAAAGTTTAATCACACAAATAAAAATTATATTTTACTACTTTCAACCATAATTCTAAATATATTATTAATCTAATAAATACATACTTCTTTTTAAAACTATATTTAAAACTATAAATTTTATATAAAACATTATAAAATTATATAGATATATTTTTTTAATTATATAATTATAATTTTTATAATATATAATTGAAAAATAAATTTTTTATTTTAATTTAATGTATATTTGAGAAATTAATCAATTATAATCTATTATTTGAAAAACTAATCAATTCTAATCAATTATTTAAAAAATTAATCGATTATAATTTATTATTTGAAAAAAATTTTGAATATAATCGATCATTTTAAAATTTAATCGATCATAATAAGTCTGGACATCGATATATGATAGCGGTTCCACGTTAACCGCTATCTCAAAGGTTTTAGATAGCGGTTAAATGGAGAACCGCTATCTAACAAACGTTTGAGATAGCGGTTAAATATAGAACCGCTATCTAATCCTAAATAGATTTTTTTTTATAAGAAAGCAAAACTAACTAGTATATATATATATATATATATATATATATATATTCTAAAATATAATTTATTTTAATTACTATAATATAAAATATATATTTCAAAATATAACTTATTTTCATTTATATATATATTATAGAAATAAAATAAAATTATATTTTAGAATATATATATATTAAATATAAATTATTTTCAAGTTGATAATTATTATTCTAATTTACGCAAAAAAAAAATATGTATATATATATATATATAATTAATTTATAAGATCGGTTAACATTTATTCTAATTTATTCTAATTAATTATTCATATATGGGTCACTTATAAAAAAATATTACAATATCAAATAAAGTAAAAAATTTAAAAAGTTTAATCACACAAATAAAAATTATATTTTACTACTTTCAACCATAATTCTAAATATATTATTAATCTAATAAATACATACTTCTTTTTAAAACTATATTTAAAACTATAAATTTTATATAAAACATTATAAAATTATATAGATATATTTTTTTAATTATATAATTATAATTTTTATAATATATAATTGAAAAATAAATTTTTTATTTTAATTTAATGTATATTTGAGAAATTAATCAATTATAATCTATTATTTGAAAAACTAATCAATTCTAATCAATTATTTAAAAAATTAATCGATTATAATTTATTATTTGAAAAAAATTTCGAATATAATCGATCATTTTAAAATTTAATCGATCATAATAAGTCTGGACATCTGATATATGATAGCGGTTCCACGTTAACCGCTATCTCAAAGGTTTTAGATAGCGGTTAAATGGAGAACCGCTATCTAACAAGCGTTTGAGATAGCGGTTAAATATAGAACCGCTATCTAATCCTAAATAGATTTTTTTTTATAAGAAAGCAAAACTAACTAGTATATATATATATATATATATATATATATATATATATATATTCTAAAATATAATTTATTTTAATTACTATAATATAAAATATATATTTCAAAATATAACTTATTTTCATTTATATATATATTATAGAAATAAAATAAAATTATATTTTAGAATATATATATATATATATTAAATATAAATTATTTTCAAGTTGATAATTATTATTCTAATTTACGCAAAAAAAAAATATATATATATATATAATTAATTTATAAGATCGGTTAACATTTATTCTAATTTATTCTAATTAATTATTCATATATGGGTCACTTATAAAAAAATATTACAATATCAAATAAAGTAAAAAATTTAAAAAGTTTAATCACACAAATAAAAATTATATTTTACTACTTTCAACCATAATTCTAAATATATTATTAATCTAATAAATACATACTTCTTTTTAAAACTATATTTAAAACTATAAATTTTATATAAAACATTATAAAATTATATAGATATATTTTTTTAATTATATAATTATAATTTTTATAATATATAATTGAAAAATAAATTTTTTTATTTTAATTTAATTTATATTTGAGAAATTAATCGATTATAATTTATTATTTGAAAAACTAATCAATTCTAATCAATTATTTAAAAAACTAATCGATTATAATTAATTATTTGAAAAAAAATTTGAATATAATTATAATTATATTCGATATCACTTAAAAAACTTTCATAATTATTTGTTATTATTAGTCGATATTAATTATTATTTTATATTTTATAATTATTTAATTATTAGTCAAATAATTTATTTAATATGTCAAAATTATTTTTTTATGGATATGTAATGTAAATAATTTTGTAATTGTTTATTTATATAATTTTTAATAACTATTTAAAAAAAGTTAATTTTTTAAATTTGTTTCCAATTACAAACACTTTTAAATTTGTTTTTTCTTTTAAATATATAATCAATGTTAAAATATGGATAATTAATTAAAAAATTATATTTATAATAATTTGAACCTTATTTTATACAAAAGGTAAAATGGTAATTTTCTTAAATAATCAATTAAATTTATAATTTTTATATCTCATATCAATCAAATCATTCACAATTTTTCATAAACTTTCCTTTCACTTTCCATTCATCCAAACAACTTTAATTTTATCTTCATTTCTCTTCAAATTCCTCCTTTTTCACACTCGTCAAATCACTCCAACCAATCAACGGCTTAGTGTGCCTCGAGATATGATTGATGTCAACTTTTGGTTAATGCCGTACATTTCTTCTTGTAATAACATATAATATATGCATAAAACCCTATTCCTTTTTTCCTTTTTGTCAAAACAAAGCAATGATTATTTTAAGCTTATCCTGGCGAGGAATTTTTCATTTTGTACAAACTCGTAACTCTTTGAATGGATTTTTTACATCTTAGCCATCGTGTGGCAGAAATTTTCTCTGGCGAAGTTGTAGCTGCGACAAGTGGTATCAGTCTTTCATGGTTGGTTTGCCGAGCTTCAAACCATGGTGCAGAGAGGTCAATATATATCACAATCAGTGTCTGCCACAAATTCGTCATTCAATTTTATCATTGAATATATAAAGGTCTTGTATGGTCCCTAACGCTGATAAATTTAATGAAGGGGTACCCTACCCCTGTTGATATTATTATTATTATTATTATATATATCAAATTTTCCCTATGCATGTTGGTCTCCATTTACGTTCATTGGTCAACATTTTTGTCTCAACAAAGCTGCACAAGCACATACTGCAGCATGTCAGAAAGAGAAAGGTATGTATTCCATAAGGGAAATTGAAAGCGAAATTGCTGTGTGGGAAGAGCCATTTCCATTTTTGTTTGCTTTGTTGGAGATCACTGTTTGATAAACAATAATGGTTGGAGAATGAAAGAGAATCCTTCCTCCTATTCACGTTGACATATTTGCTACATGCATGACCGACCAACAACAAACAAGATGAATAATGTTATACGTAACGTAGTCTCTGATCATTGAACGTAGTTAGTTCCACTCCACTGCTTTCTCTCTTCTTCTGCCTTCCATCTAATTGCATGCTGTCTACCAATATCCTCAAATCAAACAGAAACCCCTTCAAAATATATATATAGTTTATGAAATTCAATAAGAACCTCAACTTGGTTAACAAAAAGTATGCTCTTATACCAAAGGATTTAATTATTTAAATTTCCTGTTCTCGTTCCTTGTCTTCTTTTTTTGTCCCCCACTTTATAACTTGGATTAACCAGTGTCACATCACTTAATTTAAACCCTATTTGCACCTTAACGCCGTTAGGTGCCTGAGTTTCATCACCTCTCTGAGCCACGGAATCTGGTGAATGATTTAGGATGTGTTTGGCACTGTGAGTCACGACATTATCCACTGAAAAATTATTTATGGTCTGTTCGAAAACCGTTTGCATCAACGTACACGGGAGTTTCCACTTTCAAAACGTAAAAGTTACAACTTAAAAAGTATGTATTTCATTGAACGGACGTTTGTAGGTTTACAATCGCAAACCAAACACACGTTGTGTTTAAATATTTTTTATTGAATGGAGTTAGAGGTTTAACATTTTTTATAACTTTTGTGTTTGTTGGGTTGATCTAAATTAAAGAGGGAATAGCAATGCAACAGAGAATAGGGGACATGAAAATGTGTCCTTGTGAAGAGAATATACTTAGAGTCAATTAATTCGAAAAAACAGTGACAAAAAATAAACTGATAATGATCATGCTCAGAGCACTTGGAAGTGCTTTTGGAAAAAATATTGAAAGAAATCATTACAATCACCGAGCTTATAGCTTGCGATAGGATCGGGAATCCAATTGTTGAAGAAGTGGTGGATCTTTGTCCTTACTATCAAATATCAATTCCAGTTCTCTACTGTGAACTATGACGTATTCACTGCATTATACCTGCGTCAATTTTTATGCCCACATGTTTTATGGTTTACTTAATTACGAAAAAAAGTTACTTTTGTAGCGCAATATATCTAAGGAAATCTTGGAAAAAGTCAAAACGAGAGGGAGAAAGAAAGAAAAGAGAATATTTTTGGTTAGATTATGGCACTAGCAGTAGCTATTGTTGAAGGAAGGATATATGGATAAGGAAATGGCAAAGAAGGAAAGGAAGGGTAAGGGGGGAAATTAGTTACCGAGTCATTATCAATGAAAATGGCTCGTCATCATGATGCTTTGCATTTCTGAAAGCTCTTTTGAAGTTTTAGCAACTAAATATGAGTATGTATGCATCAATCAATGTTATATTTCAATTCCAACTTTTTTCCCTAAGTCACATCCTTGGTTAATTTTAGCCCATACACTTACCGTGGACCCCACTCCTTGTTATTTTTAGTATATTATTTCAACTTGAAACCTCAACCTTAATCACTTTTGTAGGTATATTATTCTTTATTTTATTCAATTTCATTTTAATATTAATAAAATATTTAATTTACTCTATTAAATTTTCAAAAACGCAATTATATACAAGATTACTTTCTACTATATTATTACATTTTTTTAAAAGTTAAATACTTAGATTACAATTTTTGAAAAAAGTTAAGTTATTGTATTATAAAAATTCAGGGACTTAATTAAATATGTTATTAATAAAATAACTAAAAATATAAAATTTGTAGAGCAAAAAACTATTATTTTAAAATAAACATAAGTGGTTAAAAAAAAAAGTCTAATATAAGAGATCCCTCAAAGTAAGTTTTAAACTTTATACATATATATACTCAGTTCTGAACACATAAAATGAATTTCATATAAAATAGTATATTTAAGAAAAATAATATTTATTATGATTCTAATATATTTATTGATTAAATTTAACATAATTTGTATTTCTTATTCATATATACTTTTTCCTTATCTCTCTTCGTTATGCATAATTCATTATTATATAAATAAAATTACTCTTTGAATTTCAATTTCAACTTGTTATTTGAAAACCATATTTTGCTTTCAATCATCTAGGACAGACGCCAGAAGAACAGTGGAAATTGTCGGCTAATCATTGGAGCTGAAAAATGGTTACGAACAAAGCGAATGAAAGAGGACAAATGAAAAACTCTGACAATAATTTCTTAACAAATCATAATTAAGGTTTCGTAGACTACGTACGTCATATAAACATGTTTAGTCCTATGTTTTTTTTTATGTAGTAGTTTATTAACATTTATTTTTAAATAAAATACTATGTTAATTTGTTAAATTTAAAATGTCTAATCAATTTAACTATTAAATATATATATACAAAAAAAACATAAAAGGGATATTTTATCATATTAGTACATTTGTCTATTTTGTAAGTAGAATTTAATGCACTTTCGAAATCTTAAATTCTAAACTAGATTTTATGCATTAGATGTTATAAGAAAATGATTTCTTTTTCTATATTTTTTCCTTGTAGAATCCATGAAAATAGTCCCATTAAGCATTGGTTGTTTGTCTCCAAAACTATTTTTCTTTCACCTTATTTGTTTCTCTCATTCTCACACTTTTTTCTTGTCAATCTAACCTCAAGTTCTCATTATTCTCACCCTTGATTCGACACCACTTGTATCCTCTTCACATCAACATTTTTGCACTTGCCATTCTCATAGTCATTGTTATATGTTTGTCGTTGTGTATGCTTTACACGAACTAGTCATAAATCGATATTGAGTTACTCTCGTCATCATGAATTTACTCTGTTAGTGTTAATACTACATAACAAAAGGTGACTATAGAAAATGATTATTACAAAGTGTTTCCAATTATTTAACTTCATATGTTGTAGCAAATTAAATCATATATGCATTTAAACAGGGTGTAGATATTAAAGTTGCTAGCTTTTTCTTATATTTTGAATGGCATAATGATTTAATGATTATTTTTCAAAATTAAATATTAATAAAATCTCGAGTAACTTCAAGGAAAAAACTCATTTTTAATTTTTAAAAGACTTATTCAATATCTCAAATTTTATACAAGTAATTAACTTTGTTCTTGAGTAAAATTCTATGATTTCAGGGTTTATATATAAATTCCACAAGATTAAATAAATAGTTTAGTTTACTTTCTTTTCTCACTTTATACACCAAGTTTAATAATGATTATTTTTTATAAAAAAAATAACTAATTAATTTTTATAAAATTTTTTGTATTGTCGCCTAAAAGCTTTAATATTTGTTGTATTTAAATATGAGAGGCGCATACTTTTAAGAATATTCGTCGTAGAATCTTATTTGATAATATACATATACACGTGTGTTTGTGACCGTTAATGAATTTACTAAATAAGATTTAGCAGACGAAAAGCTTGTTTTAAGAGAAATAATTATTTTTAAAATTCTTAAAAAAAAATGAATTAAGTATCTAGTTCAATCATATTCATCTTCATGGTCTAACATAATACTTTAACTGACATGTATTCTTCTACGCAAAAATGAAAATTGAAACGTTGAAGAACAAGGGAAATGTTAATGGAAAGTAGTTAAAAAAAAAAAAAAAACGAAGAGAGGAACCTAGATTCATTATTGTGTACTTGATGAATAATAGCTTACAATCATGTTGTGCTATCTCATCCAATCCACGCTCATAATAAAACCTAGGTTATTATTTTATTTTACTATAAGTTACTTGTTATATTACATTAGTGGTATAAGAAAGCAACTAGTTGTGATGATGTAAATAAAAAATAAAAAAATGAGAGAGTAGAATAGAATAGGTGGTGTTGTATGCACGATGGAACCTAAAAGCCTATCCATTTCGTAAAATGTCGCATTAAATAATTAAATAATAATATTTAATAATAAGAAGAATCTTTTAATGCGGTCGCCACCGGCGACGAATTTTGCATCGCTTACGTTTCACTCTGATAGCGACTGTCGGCATTCTCCTAAATCAACACGTGTCTTTTGTCAACCTGCTAAGCCGGTTCCCCTATCATGTTACTTAGACAAAGCTTATAATTATTAAAACATTTAACTTTTAATATATATAAATATTCACACGTGTATGGGATCAGGGTCTGAAAGGTTAATGACCCAAAATTGTAATACATTTTTATCAAATAAAATCTGTCAAATCCCATAATATTACTTTCCAGTTTGATATTTATGTATAACTAATTAATTTGGAAAATATCACCTAATCAGAAAGAAAGTGCAGTTAATAGAACTTTTAAATAACTATATAAAAATCATAAACTTTATAATGTATAATTGGATGATATATAAAATTGTTGTATAATTATATTTAATTTTTATTTTTATTAATGAAACTTATTTGTAAAAAAAAATGTATTGAGAAGTTTATTATTAATATTTCGAATGTCCATTACCTCCATCAAGCGTGATTTTCATCATAGAATTTAATTATTAAGAAATTATGGACCGGGAAAATTAGTAAGTCAAAACAGAATTTTTGAAGAGTATGTATGACCAAAATAATTTTATGGGTTAATCGTTACATATATGTTTTTAGAATCGTATTTTCAAAAATACGTTAGTATGAATAATAAATTCATTTTAATAAGTTCTTGAATTCGAATTTTTATAAATAAGTTCAATAGCTTACTTTTATTATATATATATATATATATATATATATATATATATATATATATATTATTTATAGTATTAATTTTTAAAAAAACGAGTAAATATTAAGCTTTATATCAATATCGTTAAATTATCTTATTAAAAATATGATATTAACATTTATATCAACATATCTAATAATACTTATTTAATTATATTTTATATTAACATGAATGTAACGGTAGTGACATGGTCATATAATTGTTATATTACATTCTTCTGTTCAATAACCTAACAAAGGAAATACATTCATTTATTTAAAGAAAATTATATGTAATTAAAAATTAACACTAAAAACAATAAAATAACAATAATTAAAATAATAAACCGAAATAAACTGTTAATATTATGAATAAAAAATATGATAATTTTTTTAATAATAAAATTATATTTTCAACTATGTAAATATTAATACTAAGAAAGAAATAAACCCATGATCACTTGATTGAAAATTTACAATAGAATAATCTGCCTTATTGTCTCAATACTTTGAGGCATACCCATTATTCATATTTATTAAATATATGTTTGGATGTAATTTTACATAATTTTTTTAGAAAAAAAGTGAAATGCTCTTTAAATTAATTTGTAGAAATTATATTCTAAAATTTATTTTGATTTATTTTAAGTTAATATTAATTTATAAAAAAATATTTTTAGAATGATTTATAGACAAACTTGTGTAAATAAAACGGTTAAATCGAATTTAGTTTAATTTTTTAAAGTGTTCCTTGTAAATAATTAAGAAGCAGCCTGGTCTCGGTTAAACTTTTTTTTCTTTCACTTAAAAATATAATATTTTCAATGTAAAATATTTGCCAGTTTTGATTATAACTAATCTTCATCGAGATTTTTATTGGTGAAAGTTTGTTGAATATGTATTTAATATTTGGTTTATGTAAGACTGAAATAAAATATTTATTTAAAAATTGAAAGCACACATATTCACTCACACCATATCTATCATGTCACTTTACTTTGAGTGTAAGACACGAAGAAAAATTGAAGGAGAGGACTTTACAGTTAATTGTCAGCTTTAGTGTTTTGTATCAGCGTATGTAAATTAAACTCTTAATGAATTGTAGTTGTAACAATTAATTTATCTCGTAATACAAGTTAAACAATACTAGATATGCATCAAAACTTGTTGAGTGGTGACTTGTATATGTGGTATAAGTATACATTGAGAAGTGATTTTGAATAACGTTATGAATAGAAAATAAAATATGTGAAAATAAAAAGTGATTTTTTTTAGGGTAAAAGGGAAACAATGAAAGGAGGAAGCTATATTATATATAGGTATATAGGGAGGGTTGATATATATATATATATATACATGCCCAAATAATAATATGGCTGCAAATTTATAGTGGATGGTCACATTGTCTGGCTTTTTCAATCATCTATCACCATCAAAACCACCCACCTGCATTTGTAGCATAATGAGAGGGAAAGGATATTAAATAGTTTGCATTGTGCGAGATGGAAGGAAGAATATAGAGTAGGTGTGTGAGGAAAATGTACATTTCTTTGTATTTTCTGCTTCCTTTGCCAATTTCACTACCCATAACTCATGCCACTACATCACATTTCCCGCAATTAATGCTCAGCAAAACTAGTCCTCCACCAACAATTATTGCTTATCCTTTCGGTCACTGCATGTGGAAATTTCTTCACTGAAAGACTACATGCTTCCATACAAAGACTCTTGTGACAGGGTTCAAGATTATTTGTTCAAAACATTTAAGTCTGCTTTTCTCGTCTTGGGTCTGCTATAAGTTATCTCACTAGTTTCTTCATTATTATAGTGATTATTCCTCATTTTAGGTGGTTAAGTATAACCCAGGATCAATGTGATGATTGGATAAGGTGTGTCAGTGTCACTTGATATTTCCTCTCCTCCTCATGTGTAGTGTAAGGGATCTTTGGAAACTATTTCATCAACACTGATCAACAAAATACACGTACCTTCAATCTTGAGTGTCTAAAACTTGAAGAAATTTATGGAAATATTGGATGGTCGATTGGAGTTAGAACAATAATGTAGTAATCTGAAAGATAGATAGATAGATAAGATGTGCCGATTTGAGCAAATAGTTGAACCACACAAGTACTTATCAACCACTTCAAGCCATATGACAGTGACAGCTTTTTTTTATCCAAGAAGTCAATGGACTTGTGACGTGTCTTCTATTATGGGCTTTGAAGCCCAATGGGCCCCAGTTCCAGACTGGGTAATGAATCTTGATCCAGGAGAAATTAATGCACATCTCCCAACCTGCTTCTTCTTTGAATTACTCACTTAGACAAGCCTCTGGAGCCGAAGACAAATTCATTTACGAATCTTACAAAAAAACAAATCTTGTGATTTCTTCTCCACATTTGTGCCAAAAGAGTTAAAAACGTACATGGAGAACTTATGTACAAAAAATACTACTAGTAGTGATAGAAAACTCCTAAGAAATTTCAATTCAAACTTATTAGGATGTTATTTAGTTATGTAATATAACAAATTATTTTTTATCAAATTTATGACAAGTGTGAGGAGAGTATTGAATTAAAGAGGGATATTTATTAGGTTTAAACTTTTTTGTGATAGAGACATATGGAAGACAACGCAGGGCGCAGACACCATCTGGGTTATACTATATATGACGAGAAAGCATGGTGGGTCATGGATCATGATTGTGATGGTGCATGTCGATAACCAGATGCAGCATCTTGAATAATCCAACAGTTGTTATCCGTCCGATCGTGAAAATAATAAGAGGAGGCATTGAGTCAAGTTGTGATTGAATGTGATTGAATGTTTTGTTCGTACCACGGGATACAAAAGAAAATTAACACTTCAATTGTATTTATGCAAATCTCAGTTTAAAGGAAATAAGAATTATATATCATATACTCAACTTTTGAAATTTAAGAATTTATAATTAAATGTTGATTGGTTTCATTGTAGTTTAAAGAAAAGGATTGGATGTGAGAAAATAATGTTCCGTGATTATATACAGAAATTCTTAAAATAGAAAAAGGTGATTGCAGAATTGGGAAGTTAAAAAGATTCTGACAAGGCTGAATTCGTCTCTAAAAATGGTGTCTGTTGAGCAATGAAAATATGAAATTGCAGAAAATGTTCATGATCAAGCTGAAAATACATTGCATCTCTACTTTAATTGTAATGCGTAAACATGTGTTCCAGTTTTGCTCATTTTATAGATATTATGCATGATGAACTGTTCTCATAGTCTCTCTGCAAAATTCTAGCCCAACGACCATTATTGCCTTATGTAATGTGAAGGAAAAATGTCAGAAAGGTAAGATAATCATTCTGGCATGTAGTTATTTTCTTCTGAAAAATGTTATCATGGTTTTGCTTCTCTTTCATGTATTTATTTCTTGATACTAGAAAGAAAAAGATTGTGTTAAGAATCTTTACTTGTACATAATAGAGGAGGGAAACGGCAAAGCTTTCAAAAGTGATGTCATTGTATGTGTGTTGTTGTCTGTGCATGGTGGATATTCAAGCAGAGAATCTGCATGCAGCTCATCATTTCCCCTCTATTCATTTTACAGTACCATGATGGTATATTTAAGGTTTCGGTGCTTCATCATAATCATCATTGCCGTATAATTAATGTTCTGAGAAATAATCATGAAACTGGGCCAAACAAAATTATGAAGCTTTCATGCCATGCATATAATAGAAGCTCCAGTACCAGCACCACAAACTCTGTTACCCGATCAAAGAGGGTTGAGTTTGGTGGTACGTACGTTAAGCATGTTTTTCCATTTGTTTTTGTAAATGTAAACAGTGAATCAGCGCCATCAAGAATCTGTCATGGACCTCATTCACATGTCAAAAGTCACAATAAGCATTGCATCAACTACCTTAAGCTTCAAACTCGCGATAAAAGAGAAACCAATTCGTGTATATAACGATAAAAAGGTCCCCATCATTAATTTCTCCTTCCTTTTCAGTTTATCAATCCTACTAATTTATGACTATGAGAGTTCATGGTTGTTATATCATTGGTTTATTTGTTTTAGCAACATCACCATTTTGGAATGAAAACATTAATTTTTAGCAGGGAAAAGAGTAACTTTGATAAAAGATACAGATTAAATTATGTTATGATAATTTCCACCTTTTAAAGTTTATTCACATGGACCGATATTAAAAATGAAGTAATAAAGCAAAGCTCTTGGACTAAATTGGACGAGATGACTTGTTTTTCACTCTCTCTTTTTTTATGCGAAATAGAAAATAAATAACTTCAGCAAAAATAAAACATTGAGGAAAAAATGTGAAGCCCAACAGAATAAGGCCCAACTTTCTTTTATTGTCAATAATAATCAGCATTTACAGTTGCTTTCTGCATCTCGGAAATTACTACCAATATCCTGTCAGAATATTTAATTTTTTAATTTTCTAGATTCATAACTCCGGAAGTCACCAATTCAAAAGGTACAAAAGCGCAAAAAGTGATTTTTATTTTTCTTTCTAAAAGCAAGTGATTTTTTCCTTTCACCACTCAAATATTTTTTCTTTTTTATCTTTTGGATTGGTCAATGAAGTCACTAATCCCAAATTATATTTCGGATTGGTAAATTACAAAAAAAAAAAAAAAGTGATTCTTTAACTGCGAGATGTTACACTCTTAAATTTTGAATCAAGTAATACGTAATAAAGATGTTGGATTTTGGGTTAACTTTTTGTTGTAATAAAAGAAAGTGTAAATTGATATTCATGAGGCCCATTTTTTGGAAATATGCTGTCATCGTTGGCATGGTGTTGGGTCCAAAGTGACAAACAGAATAAGAGCAGAGGGTCTAAAGAGACAGACAAAGACAAATTATGATTCTGGTCACTCAATCAATACTTTCAAAACCTAATTTGTGGTTTGGTTAACGTGTAAAATAGCGAATGAGTTCTGTGAACTATAATTTTTTATAGAGGGTTTAATTTAAAAATGTAATTTTTGTAAGCCCTGGTTAGTAGTAACACATACACGTTTAAGAAAAGAATAATTTGTTTTTAAAAGAGGGTGTGGTTGGTTGTGACTTACATTAAACTAGATGAAATGTGGACATTATTCTACACATTTTATCATAGTTTTTATTAAAAAAAAAAAAAAGTTATTTTTTTAGGAGTAATGAAAAGTTGTTGATTCAATCCGAAATCATTTAGGAGGAGCTGAATTGAAATAGTTTAATTATATTTGGGGTCAGATGAATTAAAAAGTAAGATGAAGAAAATGATGAAATGAAGAGAAGACGAATATGGGGAGTACGTGGTAAGTAGTACTGAAACAGCAACATGAACGTAGCAGCATATGAGTTTCATCGTGGAAGATGAGTGAATGGAATTGACTTAAAAAATGAAAATAATCATTACTCTTGGAAGCAACGGGAGCAAGATTAGTGGTGAAATAATTGGTTAGAGGATATAGAATCGATAATGAGAATGTGATTTTGTGTTGTTGTTGATGCATATATAGCGTTTGGAATTATTGATGAAGTCGAAGGGGTCGTTTTCGAATCCAGAAAATGTCAAGCAGAAAATTGGTGAAAAGCATCTGTGGAAGTGTGGCATCTCCTGGTTCAGGTTCCTGCTTTTTAATAATTAACTAAAACAAAAGAAGGAATATCCGAATCTGAACAACGGCAATAGGAGACACGAACAGGGGCACTTTTGTTTTTGTTTAAGAATTCATTTTGATACCAATCTCCCAAATTCAACACTGATTTTTAAATATATTTGGAAAAAAAGAAGAAGATAGAGTGAGGTAATTAAGTGGAAGCTGAGAAACAAAATATGATTAGTGAAGGTGATTGCATTTGCATATAAGAATGGTGGGTGCGTGAGTGCGCATCAGCACCGCCCACAATATTTGATATAGTTGGTTTTGGACCCACAGAACACTGATTATTAGTTTTTATAATAATCGTGGTCCAAATTCTAAACACAACTTAACTGTTCTCGGTTGTGGGAAAACCCTAATTTTGTCTGCCACATACATTTGCAGGCAGCAGAACTTGCACATTATGGATTCACTGTTGTGGGAATCATACAGGACATGAAGAGACCCAACCAATACCAACTACAGAGGTCTTCATTCTCTCTCTCTCTCTCTCTCTCAATGCAAACTCACCAATTCCTAACCACGAACTTGTACTGTATTATTGTGTGAAGGTGGTGTAATTTTAGACGAAAACTTTACATCTTTACCAATAAAAAGACAAACTCTATCGACAAATTAAACAATTACAGCAACTCCGCGTTAGGTATGGTGAAATTTTCAAAAGTATTATTTCCTTCCCTCCCATGATCTCCATTTCATACATATATTACCAATTATGTGCTGCGTTAACACTCTTCTTTTGACATATCATTAATTTGGCTGTAAAATAAATATTATTACCATTATATTCAACATATATTAAGGAAAGATAAAAGATTATTTATATATACTATTTTTTTAATAAATTAAAATACTTATAATAAAGACAAAATTATGAGAGAATTATATGGATTTTTAAAATAAATAATATGTTGGATGCATTAATTAACCTGAGAATTATTATTTTAATAAGAATAAAAATGAGAATTTTAAGTTCTTTTTATCATTTGACATCGGAATATATATCCAAAATTTTTGCATCACTTGGTAAATAATAAGAATAATGTATACATCTTATCTTAATATATAATATCTTGGATGACCGTTTAAAATTGATATTGAAACATTATTGTTTTTTATTATTAATTAATACATGTATTTTACATCAAAATTTAAAACTTTTAATAAGTTTAAGTCTAATAAGAAAAGGATAATGATTTAACAATCTAAAATAACATTATATAATATCATTTTAGGTTGTGAAATAGTTGTTTGAGTTATTATGTAAGAAAAATTACCAACACTTTTCATCATTTATAATAAATAAAAATAAAAGAAATAGTATTTTGAATTTTTTAAAAAGAATTAAAAAGAATTAGATTATATATAACTTATTTATCGAACTTGTATATTGAGCAAGGAAAGTTTCGTAAGCTCTAAGTTACTTTTTCATTTACTTTTATATATTATTTTGGCTATATTATTCATTACTGTAAAATCTTTAATACAGTACTAATCACAGAACTTTATTCAGTGTGGAGTTTGTAAGATTGTGGTCTTGGAAGAAACAAGAATCATAGTATTATGTGGTATTATGATGTTTTCTTAAAACTACTACGTGTTCATGTACATTAATTATTTGGATTGATGAACCTGAGATTACAAGAGCATGTTCCTGTACTGCATGCACTCATACTCATTTGAAAGCAGTGTAAGGTGAGAAGTAAGTATTTGCAGGTTGGAGTTAAACATGGGAAAACTAAAAAGAAATAGAGTGTAATGGGAAAATGGTGAAATTTGGTTGATAGCTAATAGACATATATAAGAGTTTGGAAAAGCATGGTTGAGTGCATCGTTGGAGAGTAGGGTAGAAAAGAAAAAGTCCGTACCCTGAGAACAGAAGAGAAGGAGATAATGGAATATAGTACAAGTAAGATACACTTTTGTTTGGTTTGTGCGATGCAAAGGGTAATGGATTTAAGGATTGTTGACATGAAAGAAGATTGAGTTGAGTGGCGAACATGAGGAGGACCCAGATTGCACAAGCATGCAGGTCAACCTATAAACAAAATACTAAATCGCAAGTGGCACAATGAGCATTCCACTTTCCAAAAGGGGTATGAACTATGTAACAAATTAACATTGCTCCTCTCCTCTTCACTAAATAATTGAATCAAAAACTCAAAATAATGAAAAAGTGATGCCGATTATACTCCGTTCATGGAAAACATCATTATTGGAATCCCCCAACCACCGCTGCACCTCTTGAGTTTTTTCACCTCCACTTTCGACGGCAATATACATATTCAATTTCTTCATCTTTCCAATTTCATCTTCAGATCATCCATTATCCATTGATCCGGTCAAAGCAATTGTAAATTTTTATTTAACTATGCATCAAGACATACGTGGTGGGTTTTTGTACCATCAAATTTTCAGTCAAAGAAGGAATTGATGCATGCACCTCTGTAGTCATCCTACGATCTCAAATTTATAGATTTTATCATCCAAGGAATCATTATGAAGAATGATGAATTCAGCGTCAGATCTCGTAACATTCGATCCATCTCCTTATTTAAATAATTATTTGACTTTTTACTTCAATACTCAAACAAATGTTCAAAATAAATAAATAAGTAATTCAATCTCACATGTTTACCAAAGCTAAACTCAAAATAAATTATAAGCACAGTGGGATACCATTTTAAAACTCTATTAATCATAGATTTCATATTGGAACAGTTTAATTAATAATATTGGGAATTTAAGTGAGTTTAAAGTCTTATTAAGTAGAAAACTAATTTAAATCAGTTTAAAGTTTTATTAAGTAGAAATAAAAAAGATAATTAATTTATAAATAAAAAAATTTATAATTTAATCTTTTAAATTTTTTATTAAAAACAATATCATATTTTTTTATACCGTGACTTTTGTGTTATTGTGAAAAATCTAAAGATTATTTTAATTTATTCTATTTATTTAAAAAAAATCAAATTCAAATTTGTTAAAAAAAAACTTAAATTCTAAATTTGTTAAAAAAAATAAAATCAAATTCCATATTTAAAATGTATTGATGACCAACTGGTGTTGTATAACTGTGTTTTTAGAAATCAAAATATGAAATAATTTTTTAAATCTTTATTTTTTATTTATAATCTTTATATTTAAGAGAGAAAAAATTGTTTCCATGTCAAGATTAAATCATATATTTTAAAGAATGCAATAAATCAAATTTAAATATACTAAATTTAAAATCACACACAATTTATTTTCTGTATAATTACTAAAAATGTTTTATTGATGAAACCATTCATTGAATCATTTGTGTAAATATATTCCTACTGGTTGGTTTTTAAGGATGTGTAAGACTAAATGTTCTTCATTGTTCCTAGTCGACAAGTTGCTAATTGTTAAACAAAAATCTACGAATGGTTTTACTGGAATTTAATATTTTATATGTAAAAATACTATATTTCAAGCATAGACATATTCTTTATTTTTATTTAAAATAAAAATAAGTTATATACATAAAGAAGAAACTAAGTGGGGGGGGGGGGGGGGCGCGAGGGAACATCCATCAAATGTAATAAACTATAACTTTTTTTTATTATGAAAAATTATAATTATAACTAAAGTTTAAAAAATAATTTCTTAACTATTTATGTTTAGAAATTCATATTAATTAATTAGTTCAATCTCAAAAATATTTCTATTCTTTAGAAAATTAGGTATTACAAAATTATATCTTATATTTTTTTATCTTTAATATTTAAAATTCACAGTAAATCCTGACTAATTCAAGTTATCTTAAATATACCTAGGGGTAAAATTAGAATTATTATTGATTTTAAACACCTATGCCTAACACATGCACCAAGACTCCTTATTATTTTTAATTTAACAAATTTGACCCTTTTATCAAAATTTTCTACCTAAAATATTAAATTTGACCCTTTTATCAATATATTCTTGATATTTACGATACATTTGAGACATGAAACAATGAGAATTTTAAGCACAAGAAAACTCTAGGGTAACATTTGTCCATAACAAAAATATACGAGAGATTAATTAACTCAATTTATAAAGACTTTGAAAATGAGACTTTGACGATTTTACTATTAAAAAAAGTTAGAATTACTTATTTAAAAAAAATGAAGAAGTTTAATTATTCTGTGAAAACCTTAATGGTCCAATGTAAATCAAATTAGTAATAAAAGCAAGATTAATTAAAATTAAAAATAAATAAACTCATTGCTAATTTAATTACTTGAACATCTAGAAAATATTATAAATACAAGTAATGTTGTTAAAACAAGTTTAACCCAATGGACCATCCCAAAAAATTTGAAAAATAAGTTAAATTAGATAAAAAAAATTATAACTTAAAAACTAGACTAATTTTGACCCGACCTACCTAAATGGGTTCAGGTCAAACTAACTGATAGGTTTATGAAATGACTTGTTTTATAAAATAATGATTATTTGTAAAATAAAATAAAATAAATATTATTTTATTAAAAAATATGTGTATGATAAATTATATATATATATATATATAATTTAGAAAGAACAATAAATCTTAAACATAAAATTTATTTACACTACAAAAAAAATGCTTATTATCTACGGGTAAAATCCGTAGGTAATGTCACTTTACCTATGGATTTCTTTCCGTAGAAAATCCGTATGTAATTTGGTCGTAGGTAATGCACTCGCTGGA